CACACACACACACACACACACACACACACACACACACACACACACACACACACCAATTTCTGAGTTTGAATCCTTCAAGTAAAAAAAAATCTCTTAGTTAAAAGATACTCAAGTAATTCTGCATAGATAAGTGTCATAAACTGCACCCGACTCTTTTTCTCATAAAAATCAGAGTCTGTGAGAATCTGTTGTTAGTAACAATGTTATGTAGCAATAAAATGGATGTCTATGTGCAGCAGGTTTTTTGTTTTCAGTGCAGGTTAAATCGAACACAGAAACAAATTTGTTGGACATTTGTGTCCAGTGAGGTGTACTGACTAGAGGCCTTATCACATGACTTCATGATCAGAGAAAGCGGCCATATTGTTCAGGGCAAGGATAACTTAACAGACGTAGGGGAGACCGGGGACAGTTGCAACATTGTTTGGGAGTGGTTACAACATATTAWTAATACAATATATTTCACTGTAAATAAAAGTTTTATTATTTTTTATATTTATATTATTGCTAAATTAATAAAAACTGTAAGTTATAATGACATTACAGCGTTATTTATTTATTCTTTTTGATCAAATGATGAATATAAATTTGCTTTGATGAGTAGACGTTATATACAAATGTCAAAGACTCTGATATAAAATACAGTTGGCTTATTGAGACAAGTATAATAGAGCAATTTGTGAGGCAATTAACTTTGTTTTGCCTATTGTCACTGTACGCCTACATTATGCAAAACTTACATTGAAAGAAACTGAGATTTTAAAACCATTGTGGAAAACAACAACTGCAGAAAATACATCTTAAACACTTTTATGTTTTAAACTATGTAATTGTCATGAATACCCAATACCCTTTTAAGTGTAAACTTAATTTCAACATTTTAATATCATCTTTATGCTCTGTTTTTATATGGATTTATCGTCTTCCTGTCGGCCATGATAAAACCTCATGTGTTGGCTAAATAAGCTGATCTGGATACATTTTAACTATATTAGTTAAAAGTCAACATATCACTTGTTTAAACCATATAAGTTTGAGCTGGATCACAAAAACAGTGACAACAGTATAACAAAAATAAAGCTGGACAAAATTAAAATTACTTTGGTACCTCAAAAATAGTTTTTTTTTTTCAAATAAATCCTGGAGCAGTTTTTGAATCTGTTTACTTTTTCTTTACAAGGTGGGACATCTAACTGAGCATGTACAGTGTGAGTGTCATCACCCTAGCTTGTTTCTGTTTGGAGAAAAATGACGTGTTGCAACCATCCCTTGTTGCTACTGTCCCCGGTCTCCCCTACTGTTAGCTGGTGAAGCTGAATGTATAACCATGACATGTTAGATTTAGATCAGCACATCACTGAAAATCAGTTTAACATTGACAACCATTTTGATTTGATACAACAAATGTTTGTCATGACATATTATCATATCAGGAAAAAATGTTTTGCCAAGGTACAACCATCTGCAATGAATGACGTTTCCAATAGGCAGAAGTTAATCAATAAAAAATTAATATTTATATATAATTCTACACAGAAATCTAGCTGTGATAAATTGTTCCCATTGACAGTCTGCCCATTCTAATGTGGTATGATGCTCGTACCACAGTGGTCAATCTTCTGAAGAGTGCATGACTCATTGTTTGTGTTCATGGTGTTGCGGGGGCTGCAGTTTGTTGGTCAGTGTTTCAGTCTTGTAATCCCAAGGCCGCAGGTTTGAGCCCAGGTTGTATCAGGAATCTGTAATGTGAGTTTGCTGTGGCAACCACTGCAGGAGGAGAAAAACAAATAAAAAAAAGATAAAACAACAGGGTCCATAGTGTTACTG